ACCAAGATATTTGTAACTGATCAAACCAATATTACAGTTGTCCTAAATGTTGTATGTTGCGACTTTGGATTGAAATCTCTATCCTATATTACAAATTTTTACAACCCATATGTATAATGTATGTATATAACTACACCATTTTCTAGCTCAAAGAGATCTCTAATGCTATGATAAACACACAAGATCACACTCATCACATTGAGACAGATTACATATAAAAGCCATTGGTTCCCAAAAAAATCTATCTTTTCACTGATTCAAATAATATCTGAGGTTGTCGGCTTTCGGTTGATCCCTGAGTTTAGCCATTGCTCTCCGTTCGATCTTCCGAATCCATTCTTTGCTTACCCTAAGAAGCTTACCAATCTCTTCCAAGGACTTGGGCCTGTAGTCTTGAAGACCATAACGTAGAACCATCACTTGTTTCTCTCTTGGCTCTAGCCCTTCTAGAAGTTCATGTACGTCTCTCCTCGCGCTTTGCCTCATCACAGCTTCATCAGGACTTTCCATCGTCGTGTCCGGTGTGAATTCCTGCATACAAAGCAAACAAACATCGACTCTTATAGTTAAAAACCAAACAAAAATAGCTTAAAACTACACAGAATCAACCCCTACATGAATTGCTTAAAACTACCATACTTTCAGCTCATTTTGGTCCAAGCTTACATACCAGGAATTTTGTGGTAAAGTAATCCCCGACTTTCTGGTCGATTGAACCAACAACTTTAAGGCATTGGTTAGCTGCTCGGATTTTCTTCAGTGAGTGGCCTGTTAGTTTTGATATCTCCTCATCAGCCGGATATTTTACCCCGTGGCTCGTTTTCAAAGTCTTACGAGCCTTTTGTATTTGACTCATAGTTTGGATTATTGTAGACTGCCAAAAGAAACAGAGATCATAAACAAATCAGAAAATGAAACAGCCTATTAAAGAAGAACAACAGAAAAGTTTGAATTATCAAAATGCACTAACGGGAATATGGACGCCTCTGGCATGCCGTGACACCATCATGGACATCGATTTCCTTATCCAATACTGCACATATGTCGAAAACTTGTAACCCCTTGTGTGATCAAACCTCTCTGCTCCTTGTAACACTCCCACATACCCTGCCTAGTAACCCACAAGAAATAACATTATAACAAAAAGAACTCTAATCACAATTTTAAAACTTTCCACTTGAAAAGTTTCATCATTTGTGTACCAAACAATATCTTGAAACCAAGCCTGCACCTTCCTATTTGTTTTTTGGTAATTATAACTTCAGCAAAAAGATTGGATTTGCAAGACTCTTACTACAAAGGGAGGAAGAGGAACCTGAATTAAATCTTCGTGGGCGATTCCAAGTCCCCGGTAGTTTCTTGCAAGATAGAGAACCAAAGACCGGGTGCTTTTCAACAGTTCATCTCTACAGTACCAACCGTAATATAGATTGCGCATCAGAAGTTTCTCGTTCATCCCTGCTGCTTCAGCCCAACAACTCATACTCGCTACTTTACCACTCTCCTCTTCCAACTGCGTTCTGATTCTCTCCATGTCCGCCACTATCTTCAAAATCGACATGAGAGTGTCATAAGAATTTCTTGTTAACTAAAGATGAAAAAGGATAAAGAAAACAGTTACAGGAAGATTTCACACTGAACCTTGACTCCTGTTGACATCTCAGCCTCGTTTCTAGATATCCTCTCTCTTTTCTTTCTATATTTCGATGACCTCCTCGCTCTAGGGACATCAATATCGTTCCATGTGCTTCTTGAACCGATTGTAAAAGAATCCTGATCACTATTCTCAGTTGTCAAACTCGACCTTCTTGCTTTCTTTTTCAATTTCCTTCTCGACGATACAAAGGCTTTCTGTTCTAGTGTAGTAGTAGTCTCCACAAAGTCATTTTCCGTGTCAGATAAGCATGAAGTGACTGAAGAACCACGGGACTTAGAGAGACAGGTCTTGAATAACTCAGCAGCCCCCAATTTCCTCATTTGCAACATAATATCTCTTTCCATTCTTAAAGAGTTCAAGGCGACAAAAGTTTCCTCTAATGCCAAAAGATTCTTTGCTAGTAAATTGTATTGCAGCATGCTACGTGATAGATGAGCTTTCTCTGCAGAAGACATTTGTTCCATCTGCAAAAGAAAAAGGCAAAGGATTCTCAAAAACGCAACGAAGGGGAAAACGTGAAAATAGCGTTTTCATCTGCAGTGAACTTCCTTGCACACCTTAGGGTCTTTGAGCTCTACATACACATTTTCTGCAGTGTAAGGAGATGCAGAAGCACAACCACATGCTTTCAAAGGATCTTTCTGGTAAATTCTGCTCTCCTCTTTGATTGAGGATAAAAACGACCACCTCGTTGATACAAAAGAAGTCACAGGGATTCTAACTGAAGCATCAATCAAGTAACCAAAAGAGGTCATGTTTAGGAAGAACATTAATCTCTATGCAAAAGTGACTGAAACAATTAGAAGGTCACACACGTTCACTGAAACTGATAAACCGAGATTAAGCAAGGAGTTATAAAAGTGTTCAGCTACTTAAAAAGAACACTTGGTCCACGTTTAAAACCAGTGACACATGTTGTCCAGTATATAGCATACACAGAGAGAGAGATGCAAAATCCAATCATAATGTGGAAGAGTGATTCATGTAAAATTGGAGTAGTTACCGAAAATGGGAAAAGGGGTTTGGTCGCATCTCAAAAAGGAGAGCCAATGTTTGATCAAAGGATGCGGAGGTACAAAGACCTGATCCAAAACACACAAATTCGCAAGTTACAGTTTCAAATGAAGAGAGAATACAAGGAAAAAAAAAAAAGAGAGAAGAAGACAGTATCATCATCGCGGTACTGTGGTTATTACCAGCATACTATTATTGGTCGAGCCAATCGAGGACGCCATAATCGATCGTACTAAGATACGTGGCCG